CATTCTACCCTGAATTGCTCTCAAGCATTGTATTGAATAAATTTTAGAATTTTCTTTCTTTGTTTATGATTTCATTACTTTTTTAAAAACTTTTTTTTCGCTCAAGTTTTCCTTTTCTGTTTACTGTCTATTTTTTTCTTTCTCTTTTTGCATCATTATCACTCCCCCCCACATTTTGTATTCATCCTCCAGTCACTACTGAAGCGAACAAAGAAATTCTTCATCAGTTTTATGAATTCCTGTTTTTTTTCTCTCTCCCTTCTTCTACAAAAACTTCTCTAAGTCATCTCCTTGAAAAGTATATCATACCTCCTTCCACTTTACACTTGACCCTTAGCTTCGACCTTTCCATGAAAGTTGGGATTGGGTGATTATTTGCTGACCATTTGAGAAGGAATCAAAGAAGAATAAAAGAGAAAAATATCTTGAGATAATTGAATGAAATTTCATCTCATCTCTGCAAGGAGAGGTTAAATGGAAATGATTATCTGCCCTTTGCAATATTCTGAATGAAGTCAAGAGTTATTGAGATCACTTTAAAAAATTCCCTTAATCTAAGGCAAAATTATCAAATCAGTTAGCCACAACTTTAGAAGTGAAACACATTGATCTCTATCAAAGATTCAGTGCAAAAGGGAATATCTTTTTCTGGTATTATCTATGGGAGAATGGTTTATTCCATATTATGCTGATTTATTCAGACAAGTGACATTTTGATTGTTATAGTTAGTGTTTCAGCCATTGTAATCTCTAGATTTATTCAGGTATTTTTTATAGTTGATAACCTAGAATTTTTTTAGGAACTGAATGCTTTATTGAGGCTTTTTGTTTGTACTGTTGATGGGGAAAATGGTTTTAATGAAGTGCTTGGAAAGTGGAAGGGAATATCTAGTTCTCTATTCTCCAAGGCATTATGTTACAGAATACATAGGTGAGACAAAAATGGCTAACACTACCATATTGGTCAGAACTTTGATAATCTGCATGGGTGGGCATGAATGTGTAGGCATGCAATCCTGATTGATGGATTTTCTTTAATTTGGTTTTCATGCAAAATAAAAAAACAAAAATACTGAGAACCAGCAGTGAGGTTGTGTTGGTAGAGGAGCCAAGAGCTTCTTTTTTTTTTTTTTAGATTCTATTTCATGCCATGGATTTAGTAGAGAGACTATTCATCTGAAGAAACTATTATTGACTCTGTTGCTGTAATATTGAGTCACTACTGAGGAATTGATGAAAGACCACTAGAATCAAGAGATTCTAATATATTTATATACAAAATTGAAGTCTTTTTAACAAATATTGATTAATCCTGTCTTTTCTAATTCCTTTTTTTGTTTTAAGACAAAATTGAAGTCTTTCTAACAATCATTGACTATATTAGTATTGGTTATTGGCCAGACAGAGTTTACCGACTATTTTGTCTTAGGAAGAATGTGTTTTAGGCTTCCAGTAGCACACTGGTACTAATATTAGCATTAGTGTAGCTATTGATACACTAACACTGAATTCGAATATAGAAAGACGAAATACGTGAGCGTAACAAACAAAACATTTAATAAAGCAAACAACTTACATATATTAAAAAGATTTACATATGTCCCAAAACAAATGATTGTTCATATGGTTCTTTTGGGACAATATGGTTTACAAACCAAAAACAAAGAAATAACATACCAGCTATATAGCATTTGATAGTCCACAGATAAGTGAATAGAAATGACTTTTTTCTTTCGCTAGGCCGTACACATGTTGACCAGTTTCCACATATGTGGATGCCCTGGTGGTCAAGAAAGTAAAGAGGCTGTTCCTCAAAAAATGGAAGCAAAAACTAAAAGGGACAGAAGTGCTCTCCTCTCTAAAGCGGCCAAACTTCCATGAGGTCATCCCAAGGGAAAACAACTGTGATCTTCCTACAACTAAACCAAATTTTGATGGGCAAAACAAATTTCCTTCTATTGAAGGTTTTCTTAACTCTTATTATTCTGTCAGAATTTTTCATCTATATCTATAAACAGAAGATGTCTGTCTGTGTGTGCCAATGCTATTATGCTATTTATGGGCGTCCACATTTCTAGACCGATTTTGATGTAATTATACGCACATATTGCAAATTTTCTAAGTTAGGTCAAAATGAACTTTTCAATCTCCAGGATCCCTGGGTTTGGCAGAAAAATCAATAAAAGTGAAGATGGATATGAGTTTTTGCAAAAACCAAAGCAAAGTTACATGCAAACAAATTTTTTACTTGAGGAGCTGATGTTCTTTACACTTAATGCAAAGCATAACTCATGTTACGAAGTTTATGTAAAGTGCTTTATAGTTTTCCTGTGACATTGGTTTCACACAAAAATTGCAAAAACTGTCAAAAAATCAGGTTTTTTGTACTACTTAAAATAAAAACATAAATAACTTCCTCATTTTTTATCCAATTTTCTTCAAACATGTTGCAAAATATTTGCTATCATGCAAGAAATAAGATTAGTCCTGCTTGCTTCCCTGTGTATAACAAAAAACCATGAAAACTTTTCAAAAAGCCTGTTTTTTGGACATAACTCCCTGGTTTTTCCTCTGATGCTTTCCAAATTTGCCATGTAAATTACATGACCCACAAATTATCTTGTGTGAATGTTTGGTTTAGATTATTTCAGTTAAAAGGACGAAATCCATGACAAACTAGGTCCAATATTGTCTTTTGCCATTTAGCCAATAGTTTCTTTACATGATTTCATCCTAAATCGGCATTCAAACAACCTTTGATGCAAAGATCCTTTGGGAAAGTTTATGAAAGCATTAAAAGGGAAAAATTCTTGAAGAAGCTCTTAATTGCAGCTTTACAGCAAATGTGCAAAGGGTGGGGTGCATTCATTTGCATTTGAATCAAGCTCTGACACTTCATCCCTATTTTTGTTTCATTATTATTAGTTGTGAACAATGCAATGCTATTTGAAAGTTATTATAGCCATAGGAAATTTACTGAATATCTAAAACTTTGAAACAATTTAATCTCGAACAATGACCACACAAAAAGGTTTTATTGGGTAGAATATGACAGCAAATATAAGAGAAATGGCAACAAATAGATGATCAGATTAATCCTCTCAGAGCAATGTATGTAAAACAGATCTTGTATTGTGAAATATCAAGGTTCCACATATTGTTTAAACTGATGAACTTGTTTTCATTCTTTTCCTTATGATTACAATGTTTCAACCAATCCATTCTACAACCTTCTTCAGAGTTGATTTTTTCTTTGTCTCAGCAGGACAAACCAGAAAATGGAAGCAAACCTATACGTAGCAATGAATTTAACACAGATGATTTCATATCAAATGAATGAACTTACTCATAACAATACACTCAACACAGACAATCCTCTACTTTAAGTGGCACTTGGGCCTTGTATTGGATGAATAATAGAATTTTTTAAAAAAACTCATTTTTCATACTGACAAATGCTCTCTCTTTTTTTTTTTTTTTTTTTTTTTTATTGCACTGAAAAAAAACTTGAATGATGGTTTTTTTTTTTATCACACTGAAAAAAAAGAAACTTGAATGACTGCTGAAGAATAAATTGGCCGAAACAATTTGGGAACACTAAAAACAACAAAAAGTAGAAGAGCTGTAGATTAAACAACTGTGTGAATGATAACTTTTTTTTTTTTTTAAGCATTACGTCCCGAGCAAGAAGCCACTAGGATGCAGGGGGTTGCAGAAGATTTGGAGTGAGAGCAGATAGGAGTGATAGAAGAAAGGATGAGGAGAGGGATAGTGGATAGATCAAGGTAACTGGAGATGTCGATTGACATTACATTTGAATAGTTGGAGATTATAGCTCTCAGGGAAACAGTAACTGGGAAGGGTGTTCCACAGGCGAGAGGTGCGAGGTATGAAGCTATTGGCGTAGAAGAGACGGCTACATTTAAAAGGTTCTACAGTGTAAGGGTGGGAGCGGGATGCCAGCCTTGTAGGGCGCTTGAATTCATGGAGTCTGGGAACCAGTGAAAGCAGCTCATTGGAGCAATTACCAAGAAAGTATTTGTTGAAAAGACAGAGAGAGGTGACGGTGCATCTGTGAGAGAGTGACTGTAGACGAGATGCCAAATCAGGGCCAATTATATTACATATCCGTCTCTGGATCTTGTCAAGAACTCCAAGCAGAAGGTGCCCCAGACCATATATGGCAGAAATACTCCATGCAAGGGCGAATGGTTGATTTGTATATTTGAAGTATCAATTCCAGGGAGAAAAATTTCCTGGCGCAGCACAGGGAGCCAACTTTTCTCAAAATTTCAAAAGTTAATAAAATTGTAAATATTTATCATTTCTCTATAAGTGAGAAAAGAATATTTTTCCCCCATCTCTTTCATCTGAACTGTACTTTCATTATTAGAAGCAGTGAAATATTGTTAACTGTCTATAATCAAATTCCATTGAGAGAATTCACTGCATTGTACATGTACAGTTTTAGTTCATTCACTTATTTCTCAGTGCTTGCTGCTTCAATGATATTTAACTTCAAAGAATTCCAGGCTAAGTCAGCTATTTTAAGAATCAACTCGAAGACGTAGTCTTCAGTAAAATATGTCTGAACTATAACTTAGTTCAATGTTGGAATAACGTTTTATTCTTTCAGATTACTGTATTTGATTTTAATTCTTGTTTTTTTTTATTCTTATATGATAACAATATAAGGTCACAAGGTTAAGTGTTTCTGCTTGAGCGATATTTACTGCAGACTGATAAAAGCTTGTTGTACAGTTATACAAAAGTTTACTCTTTGCAATTCTTTGCTTTTCAGAAACTTTCATGATTTGTCTTGTGGTTTACTGATGTCCATCAAAAATCAGCATTCAAAGGAAACAAAAGCAAATTTCAAAAATATTATAATTGGAAAATCAGATTTAAATGCAAATTATGATCAAGAAATGAACCAGAAGTAAAATTAATTGCAATGAAGTTATAAATTGAAATTAGTATTTATTGTTTGGATATAGGCTTACGGGCACATCACTTTGAAACACTTGTTCCCATACAATCACTGAAGTTAAACAACATTAAGCCTGGTCAGTACTGAGATGAGTGACTGCTCAGGAATACCAAGTGCTTGAAGCTTGGATATGTGGATGGTGTAATGGATAATGGCTTGATATTGTAAATCGTAGATCAGAGTTCCAATTCTTGTTGGGTTGGTTATATTCATTTATGCATATATACTTTTGGGAAAGGTATAAATAAATCTATTCTCCCCTCAGCTATGGGTTAAATAATTAGACTTCTATCACTAAAAAATATCTCAAAAATAAAATAAAATTCATCTAAAAATATTTTTTGATTATTTCTACCTGCAATGGTAGCAAACGAATCAATCTCAATATATCAGTAAATACTTGCTAGGTATCAAAGAAATGATTTAACCCCTTCCCTACCAATTATTTCGGGAAAAAACATTTCATTTTCAGGGGAATATTTTTATATGTTTTTAATATAGTAACGAAGAAACTGAGGCACTTTGAAGTACCGAAGCAGTGGCTCAACCAGACATATGAGTTGACCACTGGACTTGTTTAAAGCTCAGAAGAGCATAAAAAGAATCAAGATCAATGTATAAAGATGTCTGGAGCTGGTTTTCGAATGTTATGTTTTGGACATTTTTATTTGTCCATGTCTGAGAAAGGCAATTTCAGTAAAAACGTATATAGACATCTAAGCCAGGAAAGGGGTTAAATGACTTTTTTTTAATTTTATTTTTTTTTTTTATTGGGAACAGCATTTTAGACAACATTATCTGACCACAATTCATACTTCAAGATTCTTCTCTGAGCCATGTCTCTTCAGGACGTGGATGAGCATAGCTCTACCCAATTTCCTGTTCTTTGTAGTGCTTAGTAAATTTTTTCTTTTTGCTATCTTTCCTAATCCCTGTTCTGCCAACCTTTTACTAGTTTTTTATTAGTTAGGTTATTTACTGCCTTCCTATATCCCTTTTGCTTTCAATGTCCTGTTAGTGTCAAATTCTCTAAGCCTTCTTTCTGCATTATGTTCCCAAAAATTTAAACTGTCACTGTGATTTGAAGTATAAGTTACCTTTTTGTTTCCATTTTCACTAGAACTTTGTCAATTCTCATGCGTTCAGTCCATGATATTCTCAATATCCTGCTGTAGAACAATTCTTTTACCTCAAATCTCTTCATCTGCATAGAGATTGTCCAACTTTGGTATTTATTTACAGTTTATCAACTGATTGAGAATTAACAGGTTAAAATGGTGTCTTTAAAGATCTTGGTAAGTGATTGGTTTTGAATGAAATTAATCAATTTTTTATTAAACCAAGAGGGTTTAGATTCTAAGTAAGTAAGCAGTTAATTATTAATACATTTTAATTATGAGATTATCTTTCTCAATCAACCATTCAAAATTAGGAAATAACTAATCTGAATATTGCTCTGAGATGATTGGTTCATTTAAGAAATGACAAAGTAAATGGAATCATAATGTTGTAGATCAGGGGTTGGCAACCACCAGCTCCTGGGCCACATCTGCCCACCGAATCATTTTTGTCTGGCCCACCAACTTAACTGTCATAAGGTATTTGCATTTTCTGTTGATTGTGTTCTTATCCTTGTTATTCCTGTAGTAAAATAAGAAAAATTGTTTAACTAATATAACATTAACTTTAAACCTCCAGATCAAGGCAACCTTCTGGATGAAATAGTCTGAAATCAAGTCAATTTATTATAGTACATTTCATATCATAGCCCTCATCTGAGACACTGTAAAGCTATCTGGCGTGCTTTCTCCAAAAGGTTGCCGACCCCTGCTGTAGATAGAGCGTGTGAGTAACAAGGCAGTTTTCAGGTAGATGGCAAGAAAAAGAATGCATACTTATAAGCACAAAAAACTAGTCATAATTTCTAGGAGACATGACAAAAAGAAGGCCTGGAAAATTTGACACTCCCAGGTCATATTGAAGATGAGGGGTAGTTGAAAACTGATGAGCTTGTGCAAATGCCTAGCAGAACAGGGAGTCGGAGGCATATTAAAATAGCAAAAATTGCTCAGAGCATGAAAGGATAGGAAGTTGTGGAGAGCCATGATTACCCACATTCTGAAGTGATACTGAACAGAAGAAAAGAATTCTGTTGTTCACATTATTGTCAATAATTCTAAATAATTAAATAATTTTAGTACGACACAAGGTCCCCAAATGACCCTCTGCAGGTTTTAAATTCAGAGTTGTCCTTCTCCTAGACCAGCTGTCATCCAAGGCTATAGAACCCAGTCTGTACTGCTATATACCCATAACTGGGGCGAGAAGAAGAGGATTCATACCTCTCCCAAGGGTATTAGCACGTAAGTGGACATAATGGATTCGACTGGAATTAGAAGCATGTTGGAGTAATGGATAGCAGTTCAGATTTATATATATATATATATATATATGTGTGTGTTTCATTGAATAATATAGGCATATTATGTCTATTTATTTTATAATTGTTATGGTCCGGTTCCTTGTACCACGGAGATAACAAGGTAGAACCAATAAAGAAGAACACGAACATGGACATGGAATAACACAGATATATTACAAACAGGAATATATACAGAGAAGTAGAAAGTGTTTGTACAAACAATCAGGTTTAGTAGTAATTGTCTGAATGCGACTCTGTTTCGGATTGCCCCTGACTCGACTGACTGACTCGCTCGCTCTGACTGACTGACAGACTTCTGACGGACCTCTGACAGACCTCACTCCAGACTTCAGACTGAACTCACTCAGACTTCAGACTGAACAGTATTTAGTCACCCCCCCCCCACAAGGACATCATGTGGCACAAGGCCAGTTTAACGTGGGATCTCCAAGCCCGTGGGATCTCTGAGCCCGTGGGCTTGGCCAAAAATATGCCCTTTGAACCCTTATAAACGGTTTCAGGGTTAGTTTACCTCCCTGAAAGAGACTCCGCTCTTTGGCATAGCCTCGTTCGGGTTCCCCCCACCTGAAGACAGAGAGTTCAACCGATCAGCCAGTTACCTGACCAGACTGAACTCCCTGCTTCCTCTTGAGGCACAGTATTTATTACTTATGGAATAGTCCATTATGTTATTATGGGTAAGGTCCCCTAACAATAATCTTTTTTAATTCTCTAATCAGTTTGTCGATGTTAAAATGAAGGAAAGTATTATTATTAGTAGCATTACAATTTAGTATAGGAAATTGAACATAGTACGAGGAATAGTTTTGTCTATCACTGCATGATTTAACAAAAACCAAAACATTAACTTATATTTTTAATTAGTCTTGTCAGATCTAGACTCTCATCTGGATGTCATGAATCCATTCAATTCAAATGTTGAAATTATAAGTTATGTACAACTGTTTTCTCAGAGCAATGCTTAAAAATGACTTTAAACAAATGTACCGTGTAGGTATGAGGCAGAACGACCCATTGTCAGATCTTGCAGTACAACAAAATAACAAATAAAGATCTTTTCCAAATTACAATGGCCACATTGCTCAAAGACTTCTAACAGCACCAACAACTAAAATGGATAGCACATGTAACTTGAGAAAATGATAGTGTGCAACATCAACATCTTGAGGATGCTATCTTAAACAAGAGGTTAGGAAGGAAACCTCTGTCAATATTAGAAAGAATAATAACAGCTAGTGGACTTCAGAAACTCATTTCCTTAAAGGTTTTAAGAGTAAGTTTTTATAAATTTCAATCAACAGCAATGCTAAATCTTCATTCGGTGAAGACTGATTTTTTTCTCTGTGAAAACATCTGATCTTACCATTACCTTCCTTTATAAAGGACGCTTCATTATCAGTAGCAGCAATGACTTTGATTAATCATCAATATCACTGTGGAAAATAAAAATAAACTTTAGCTATTTCATTTTCATAATTATTACCCAGTTGTTTTTTAGTGTCTGCTTTTTATTGAATTGTTCTGATATTTTATAAAAAGTTCACCCTCAAAGTTAGATGTACAAGATATAAAAAAAAAACGAAAATAGTTATCTGAGTAATATTCAGAAAATCAGGTCACCTTGCAATATATCAAGCTCAATAACAACAAAGATAATGAGATTTGAAGATAAAGGTTGACAATATTTTCTCTTTTTTTTTTCTCCCTTGTTGCATCTGCAAATGCTCAGTGCCACTTGTCTGCTGTGAGCTGAATGAATCAGAATTACCTCCCTTTTCAATGAAAAAATCAAATTAAGAGACACTTTTGGTGAAAAGAGGACCCAAGAAATTTTATGATTATATCTGACATATAGGTAACAAAAATGATTTATTCAGAATTTTCTGCTGAAGATAATGAAATAAATCAATGAATCCTCGGTTTTATGGGTTTGCTCTCTTTCAATATGGTATAAAGATTTTTGTAATAACTGTTCCTGCCATTAATGATTTCGTAAGTTATTAATCTTGGCAAGGGTAGTTTACTATTTCTCCACCAAACCTCATGTTTTCTTTGTGACCTCTTACGCATTTGTGCAGAAAATTACCACTTATCTGTTAAGAGTGATGAAAATAATTTATTCATAAACTTATGTTCATTTTATAGATGAAGCTTCATTATCTAATATATACCACGTCAGGATGTTGGCTACCATGGTCCTCCATAATTTCCTGTCTTTTCTAGCTCCGAGTAAATTTTGTCTTTTTGTTATCTCTCCTAAACTTTCTTCCAACGTCCATTTATTCAAGCTAGGTCATGCATTGTTATCCTCTGTCCCTCTTACCTTTAATCTATCCTGTGAGTATCAACATTTCCAAGCCCTTTTTCCTCGTTATGCGTTGGAGAAATTTCAGTTCTCTCTTCTTGATGTTATGCATAAGTGTCCTCTTTGTTTCTATTTCTGTGGTGTCCTCAGCATCCTTCTGTAAAACCATGTTCCTCTTGCTTCAAGTCTCTTCTGCATCAGTGAGGAGATTGTCCAGCATTCATTGTCATTTACTGAAATAAATATTTTATAAATTTCAACTGACAGAAACATTGTTTGATAAATGACTACCAGATATTTCCTTGTAAGAAAGTAGTTAATCAGCCATTAATGTACAGCTTATTACCTTTCTTTGATCTGAAGTAAAATG